CACCCGTACATCCATGTTGTTGATGGTTGACCGCCAATGATTACGGTTGATATTAGTTGATCGGTTAAATCGAGTGTTACAACATATTTTGTGATGTAATTAATGGCACGAAATTGGAGACAATATCAACGAATTCACACATATTAAAAAAGTATATATGTGATAAATAAACGAGACAACGATTTATCGATCGGCAAGGAAAAAATTTTCTCCATAAAATTTATTGAGAGAGTATGTATTATAGGGGAAGTTTGTGGGACAGGCGATTGGCTATGATCGAATACAACAAATTTGTATAGTGTTTGTTGTGATCTCGTTGATTTTTGAACAACATAATACATTAACGATTTGCGAAAAAATATTTGGTAAATAAGTGGTTTGTTATGAGCAGATACTATAAAAACAAGTGAGTGCTTTGAAAAAATGCATTGAAATGCTTCAAATGGTGCAAATAAATAAATAAATGAGTCCGCCCTTTTGAAAAAGCTATCCAAAATGCTTCAAATAAAAAGCATTTCAAAAGTTAAAGGGTGTGTTTGAATATGAAAATATTCAATATATACTCAATTCATACTCAAAATCTAAATCAACTCTATTATTTTTAATATCATGAATATAATTAAATAATATCAATCGATCATTTTTATACATCACATCATCTTTAATTTACTATTCAACTGTTCACATAATTTTAATTAACTATCACTTCATATTATCTCTCTTCTACTTTTACATTAATCAACTATAATTATTTTAATATTAAAATAAAATCTCACTAACAACTAACTATACCACTTTTTTAAAAATTAACTCCGACTATCATTTCCCAGAGTATCTATATATCTATATAATTACTAGCTAATAACATTTAAGAAAACCTATTTAATAAAACCTCTAAAATTTTTCCTCCATTACAAAATTTATCATTAATATTTTTTACTTCTCACATTAATACATCCTATTGAGTGTAATCATGTATTTTTCTATTATATTATATAATAATTAGTGCTAATACCAACTAATAATAATTCACAATAAATATAAATTGCATAATTATAAGTAATTGTTTCAAGTTATTTATTTTAATATCAATATTATTTTTTTCTTTTGTATCTCATGGAAAAATTTCTTTAAAAACAATTAGTAAATTGTTTTAATAACATAGTCAAACAACTTTAGAATCTTATAAACAATTGTTTCTGTAATAATAATAATAATAATCAAATTGCTATTATCTAATGATAATAAACAATTGTTCATAATAATAAACAATCATTAATTTATTTTTCCTAATGATTAAATTTTAAAAATGTAATATATTCATTATCTTAAATTTTAATATTAAATTCTCAAATATTACTTATAATATTTTATGTATATCTGTGCATGTGCACAGGATTATTTACTAATTGTTTGATAAAAATAGTTAATTGAAAAACCTATTTACCAACACATTGGGTTGTCTGTTTGGCATGGTAAAACTGTTAAAATTGTTCAAAAGGCCAAAAGCTGGCCAAGAAGCCACTTACCAAACAGGCCTAAATTGTCATCTATGTTTTCATTTTCTTTTTTGTAACTCCGAAAATTCCGATTTTCTCCTCCGATTTTCCGATCTCCGACATCTGTGTCCCACCACGCCCCTATTAAAAACCTCGCCGCGAAACCCTTTCTCTGTCACTCGGAACACGCAGATTCTCACGCACTGAACGTGTGACCCACTGTGTGTGTGCCGTGATGTAGATACATACCCTTATTTTGTATCTACATCCTTGTCCGTTTGTAAGTATGTATGTATGTATGTGCTGACCATGAAGTGAAGCAGCTTTGTAATTTGTATTTGTGATCCATTAATTTAGGGAAAAAAGCATAAAAAAAATTAACGGTGGTATGAGGACTCTGTGCGACGTTTGCGAGAGTGCGGCGGCGATTCTGTTCTGCGCGGCGGATGAGGCGGCGCTTTGTCGGGCTTGCGACGACAAGGTATTAAATGTCTAATTTATTTTTACCCATTTGTCTGCACGAGCAGCAAGGGAGCAATTGGTTCTTTGTTTTGATTGTTTGGTCGAGCCTAATTTGAGTTTTTCAGTTCTTTATTCTTTGTATGTGATGATAATTAGTGAATTTTTGGTTATGAGATCGGTTAGCTCTTGTTTTTTGATTTTTGATGTGTTTTGGTTCTAAATATTTGTAATTTAGTAAAGTATAAGTGTGCCTGAACTGGAAAATCTGATGTTTTTGGTGTTAATATGTTAATGTCCTTCGTCTGGTGGAACTTATAATTTTGTTTACATTACATAACATGTTTTGAGTTGCAATTTGCTTTAGCTATAGCTCGAGCCTTGAAAAAAGATTCTTTTAAGTTGGTATGAATAGTTTGCTTACTTGATTATGCTCAAGAACCTCCTCGTATGATCTGAACTAGGTTATTCTTGCTAGAACAGAGGATTTCAACTGAGAATCATAGTCGATTGTCAAAATGAAGAAAGATTGCAATCATTACATGAGTTTAGTGTCAAGACATGGAGAATTTCATAGTAGCGTTGAAGTTGTGTTTTTTTATGGGTTCACAATTTGAATTAGCTCTCACCATAATTCAAGTTTAGTTTACTTTATTACCTAGCCTTATGTCCTCTTACTCTTCATGTCAGGTCCATATGTGCAATAAGCTCGCCAGTCGGCATGTTCGGGTCGGGCTTGCTGAGCCAAGTGAGGTCCCACGGTGTGACATATGCGAAAATGCTCCCGGTAAAAAGCTTCTTTTTCAATATTCGAAACAAAA